AAAAGCCAATGTTTTGTGTGTCTTTTCAGTGTGTGGTAATAATCTTTAAATTCGACCCAGAGTGGATAGTGCACTTTTTGAAAACTACTATAAATTTATTTCTGTATGCAGGTCATGTAAAAGTCATATCATTCCATAATATTCCTGATGAAACATTTTTATATTTCAGTTTTTACTTATGAGGAGGGCTGAAGGTATTTATAACTCAAATAAAAATTCAATATAAACCCATAAATAAATGTTTATTGTGTTTGATCAGATTGATTGAATTCGTAATTTACAATTTATCAGTGTGCGTGACGTAAAAAAAATAATAATAATACAAAAAGGTATGCGTATAACTAGGAAAATTCGATCGAATGAGAATAAATCATTCGTTATCAGAACCACTGTCGTCAGAATTAGTTCTGCCTCGAATTGTTTTTGATTTCTTGTTTCCAAAGAGTAGATGAGACGGCTTCTTTCCCTTTTTTGGTGGATTCAACAGGTCACCAGTGTATGATATTGCACCACACTGGGCTATTCTCCACTGCATCATCTCTGTGGAAAAATCGTCGCAATTTCTGAGGTCCGTCAAGCCTACGATGTAGTCTTTTGTCTTGCTGTCTGAGATGAGGGCTATCGTGGGAATTATTTTGATCCCTAAATGCTCTGGAACCAAATAATTAGTTCCTTCAAAAAATGCACGTATCTGAGTCGAAGTCCATGACTTCGCTACAGAAATGCAATACAATTAAATATGAATATGAGCCGTACCTGTCAAACATGGACACCTCTCGACATTCAATTTACAAAACCTCGCCTCCACATGTTTTTTAGCAAGAATCTGTAGGTGATGATCTGCAATTTTACATCTTGGAGATCCATCCTTGTAAAATAAACAGACAATATTCTTCGATTTTTTCGACATATCGAAGAAGTCCTTCTCATCAGGAATTTCAGAGTACTCTCCGTGTCCCTGCAAAAAACCAAGCAATTCATTGATCATCCACGAATATCACCATCTATGGAAATCAATGAAAAAAATTATGATAGGGTCCTTACAGCACCCAACCACGCCTGTTTCTGCTGATGTACTTTCTTCATCTTCTGTAACCTCTTCTCCCTCAGCTTTTCAATATCATCAATATCCAGGTTCTCCAGAGCTTCAAGCTCTCCATCTAATTGACGCTCCACCTGTTTCGCCACCTCCAAGATCTTATGCTGGATAACCCCCTGTTGACGATTTCGGTTTCCTCTTAAGCTCTCGCATTTTGTCTACCTTCACCTTTCGTAAATGCAATATCTTTCTTCGGGTCAAGAATTGATCCAGGAATTCATCGACTTCTGTATTTCCCGATATGAATTTCTCAGCTATTCTCTGGACACGAAGGAGAAAACAAATAAAAATCACAATTATCATTTGATAATTGTTTATATAATTGCTTAAATAATTACTTCCGATTCTTTTTCAATTTCCGCAGCAGCAGCTTGCAACAGCTCGAGGGCAGACTCAACTGACTTCAACTTCGGCACTGGTTAAGCACTATTTAAAAAATGATAATTGAAAATTGCAGGAAAAAATGTAAAATATGTATTAAAAAATCAGAAAATAAAGGAATACTGTTTTATTTAATTTCCTTCCATGGAAAAATCTTGTAGTAAAACCGGTAATTGTCGCGGATTTAGAAATTAATGAATTTATTATTAATTCATTATTATATATTATTAATAAATGTCATGATTCTTTTTCGATTCCAGGTTTTCAAATCATAACAATTTCCCATCCATTGACTTAGTGGATTAGGCCTACAGGGGATACCACTTTAAAAAAAAACGCGTCAAGGACTCTACCTCTTGGGTGACGTGGAAAGAGTTTCACTTTAATTACTTGATTTATGAAAAAATAGTCAATACTGGGTCAGAATCTCTCTTATTGAAATAATCATATACCCATTGTTCATTTATGCTTTTGTAGACAATTTTTATGCCATACTTTTTTTTTCATGTAAATTTGAAAGAAAAAAAATCAAACGACTCGACTGGCATTCAAATGTAAACGCCAGAAATCGCTGAATTGTGGGGACGAAACGCGCATGAGACGTCTGAAAGTACTTGTCCCCTGTTTTGGTGTCGGCGACATCATTCCATCATACCTTAAGTATACAGACACCAAGTGCATAAGTGCATATAAGTGCATTCAATATTTTGTGTGATAATAAAGAAAAACTGATAATTGACTAGCCATGAGTAAGCGACATGGATTATCGGTGAGTAATTTCTTCATAAATAAATAAAAGAACAGATTTCCTCTCTTCAGCATCATATAATATTCTAGATAAAGCAGCCTCCTAACCTCAAATCTCTATTCGTAATGCACCCTTTCATCGTTTTAATAATATATTTCCCCAGAAAGAAGAAATTGCGAAGCAATTTATGCTGCCGGAGCGAAAGAGCAAAATAGCGACATTATTAAAACAGGATGGACAAGCATATTGCATCTGCAGGAGTTCTGACAGCTCTCGTTTCATGATAGGATGTGATGCCTGCGAAGAGTGGTATCACGGCGACTGCATCAACATCACAGAACGTGACGCAAAGTATATAAAACAGTTTTTCTGTGTGAGGTGCAGAGAAGAAGATCCTTCCCTGGTAACGCGTTACAAACCCCGAAGAACGGAGCAGGACGACAGAAAGTTGAAGAAATACAAAGAAAAAGAGAGGACTCACCGATACGAGCACGACGATGCCTGGGACACGACGATAATAAAAAAATCGTCAAAGAGATGTGGCGATTGTACGGGATGTCTGCGTACCGAGGACTGCGGGAGATGCGATGCCTGCAGACACCTCAAGAAATTCGGGCCCTCGGTGAGACTGAAGCTGCGCTGCATCCAGAAGACCTGCAGAACCGTGGGAATTCCCCTGAAACCCTCCAAGAGTGTCAACCGCAGCGACAAATCCAGCAAAAAACGTAAGAGAGACTCCAGCAACGAGAGAATCGACTTCCTGGAGCCCCCGAAGCAGTGCTATGGGCCAGCCTGCACCAAGCAATCACGTCTGGGCTCAAAATACTGCTCTGACGATTGTGGAATGAAGCTAGCGACCAACAGAATTTATCAGGTTCACTATTCGACGAAATAATCCATTCATTTGTCCATTATATTAATGAATTCAATTTATTGTCACAATCATTTTTTTTTAATTAACAGGTTCTACCCCAGAGAATCCACGAGTGGTCGTTAACGTCGTGTGTAGCTGAGATGAACAATAGACGTGCCCTGGAATCCGTGAGAAAGCAACAGCACGAGGTGAGGAGAATTCTCCAGGAGTTGGACAGACGTCACTTGGAGCTGGATCGAATCGTGGAGAGAGCAAAGAATGCCTCGACCGATCCCAACTATGAGGTGGACGATAATGATGACACTGAGATGAGCATGTACTGCATCACATGTGGTCACGAGATAAATTCACGTACAGCTATTAAACACATGGAGAAGTGCTTCAATAAATACGAGTCCCAGGCCTCCTTCGGCTCCATCTTTAAAACCCGTATCGAGGGACAGGTAATGTTCTGCGATTTTTACAATCCTGTCAATCGCACCTACTGCAAACGTCTTCGTGTCCTCTGCCCCGAGCACTGCAAAGACCCCAAGGTCAGCGATACCGAGGTCTGTGGCTGTCCCTTGGTCACCAATGTTTTTGATTCAACAGGCGATTTCTGTCGAGCCCCGAAGAAACACTGTGTAAAGCACTACGTGTGGGAAAAACTCAGACGAGCTGAAATCGACATGGAGAGGGTCAGACAGTGGTTAAAAATCGATGAGCTCGTAGAGCAGGAGCGACAGATCAGAGCCAGCATGGCCAATCGAGCTGGGGTTTTAGCCTTGATGCTTCATTCGACTTACAATCATGAATTGATGGAGCAAATGACGCAGGAACAGAACAGGGAACACAGCAAGGCTAATCAAGAGGAATTGCAAAGACGCAGCAGACAACTTCGGCTAGAAATGGATAAGCACGTGTAAATAATTTTTTGTATGGGGTTGACTGTTATCAATAAAATTATTCAATTAATTTTTTTTCGTCTTTATCTGATTTTTATTTTTATTCAATTTTCTTATGTATATATATATTCAATTATGTCGTCTTCAAGTCGATCGGTGCCGCCTTTGCCACGTCCCTTTTTTTTTTTCTTTTCAAATTTTCATCTCCGGGGAATAACCGCCCCCTGGTGGTCTGAGATTTACCACCAATAGCAGAACACCACGCGTTTCCCAATGTTTTCTCATAGTTTTCAAAAAAATGGCTACGCGCACGTCAACTGAGCGATTGCTCTTCCTAATTATTATAGTTTTATTAAGTTTAACGTCTCTTTCAAAAGGTAAAAATCCAACTAAATTTGCTTTTAATTTGTCCCTGACAATTTGCGCAGTGGAAATCTCAATGTTCTCTGATAATTTCGTATGTAGTGTGAATCTAACCACAGGGTATTGTCCACAGCAATAGGTACAAAATACGTGACTTGTGGCTCAGTTCTGAAATTATTGAACGTTGCTTACCATGTCAGACTTCATTCCCATGATATTAAATATGGAAGTGGCAGCGGGCAGCAGTCAGTTACTGGTACAGAGACTAAGGAGGATGTAAATTCTCATTGGATGGTGAAGGGGGTCACTGGGAAATATTGCACTCGAGGGTAAATCCATAACTAAAAAAATATTGTATGCTGTAAAATGGGATTGATTGAAATACTCAATTGATATTGATAGGGAGCCAATAGCATGCGGAGATGTGATAAGACTGGAACATGTTCCTACGAAGAAGAATCTCCATTCTCATCACGTAAGTTCTCCTCTCAGTGGAAAACAAGAGGTTTCAGCGTATGGAGATCAAAAAGGGGAAGGAGACTCCGGGGATCATTGGAGTGTAATTTGTGACTCTGATTATTGGGAACGCAATAAGTCCGTTATGCTGCACCACGTAGATACCAAAACGTACGAAGAATCATTGATGAATATTCATCATATTTGATATTAATCATGTCGAATTTTTTTTTACAGATTTTTAGCGGCGAGTGGAAGAACCTATGGATCTCCAATAGCTGGCCAAATGGAAATAGTTGGTGACAGCTCATCTGGGAGTGATTATACTCGATGGCAAGTAGTGGATGGTCTCTTTATCCATACCCAGGATCTCAAGAGTCTTCATCATCCCCATACAGAGCTCTGATTATTTCAGGCTCGTGGTACTTTCATAAAGCATACCACATTCTCAATCTTCGCCAATAATCGAGTCAAGTTTGTCTCAGTTGTATATAATATTTATTCCATTGTATTAAATGTGGTATTACTTGATGATTATCTTGTAGGAATGCCAAAGGGATTAAGACGTCACTCGAAAAATAATTAAGCATTATATCTTTTCAAATTTTGTATTACATATGATATACAAGACGATGAATAAATGCGTGTGATTGAAGCAATTCGTTGAATCGAGTTGTAAATCATAAGAATGGAATAAAAATCAGTAGAATATGTTATATATCTACAGTCTATCGTGGATAGGACTATCTTGACGGAAAATCCTTGACCATTTTATTTTACTCCATCCCCGGAATATTTTCCGTTCAAATCCCCAAGTCCTAGAAGTCCATTATACGGAAAAATGAAGTTCCATATCCCATAACTCCCAAAAATTTCCTTCAATTCTACTCTTCTCGCTACGTGAGGGTAATATCTCTGTTTTCCACTCAAACAACAAAACAATTTCCAACTCCCATACAAAAAGCACACGATAGACACCGAAATTAAGGAATTAAACAGAATAATTAAAAACAAACAAGTTCCCTGTCCAGTAATTAAAAATCTGGCAAAAGCGACAGGAAAGCAAAAATTCAAAAAAATATTAATATAACTGGATTTTTCACCAATAATTTCACTCAGGCTGTCATAAATGTGGGGACCGATAATAGTGGATGAATAACAGCAAGCTAAGGATGTATAAAAACAAATTAGAATGAAATTTCCCATGTTCAGCTGTAAAATACAACCACCGATGAAAAAACAGTGATGATCTCGGTAGTGGAAACACTTTTTGCAAGCTCTACAATGCTGAGTCGGTCTATAAGTATAACAAGTGCAATACTCGCAATACCAGTATTTCAATTTGGTTCCAGAGTCCTCTTCTTGGGTTATTCTAATAGCTACACTGGCAATATTATCATTTTTCGTATAATTATCTCGCATTGTTCTTGCATTACTGCTTATTTTGCAGATTGAGTACCAGTTGAGGTAGACTTGGATCGAGATGAAGATGAAGATGAGGGAGAGACCCTCGTTGAGGTACAGCGTTGTTATTGTCACCAGGAGGCTGAAGATTAAGGCCAGGACTGGACAAATTTTGAAGGCTACTTCGTAAAATTTCCCAGGCCTAATCTTCTCCATTTTCCTGGCATAATTCAATTGAGAAATAGATAAGAATTGAGGTAAGAATTCAAAAGAATTACAATTGTGGAATATTTTCGTGCACATCGTGTGGTCCCGTTAAACATCATCCAAACCGCCTTGAGTTGATTTTGCAGTATATATAAACATCCCATGCTTCTATTTATATTTTTGATCTCAAATACTCAAATCCAGTGAATTGCAGAATGTCCCACTTATGTTTTCTCAACTACTTTCGAGGAGGCAATCTATTTTATTTATGGATGATTCTTACCTCAATTACATTAGAAGTTCAGTAGAAATATCCATAACGTAATGCTGAAACATGATTTTTAGCGTTGGACTGAATATTTTTATTTACTCTTCCATCGCAAGTATGACATTTTCCATGTATCAATTTTTTCTCAAATGTTTAAAATGTTTATCAACTGCATTAACCTCAAATAAAAAAATTTGCAACAAAGTGCAAAACCGAGAAATGAATAAATTCATAATAATACGAACACGATATAATTTTATATGAAACTTACACGAGTGAATGTCTTATGCTTTTTTTTCTGTGTTTATTTATTCATCATTCATATATATAAATAAATATATCCGTTATGGCAGTTGATACTGCAGATTTCTGTGCCCCCTACCACTGGCTCAATCACCCACCCTCGATCATCATATGTCGCTCAAATATCAGCTCAAAACCCTGTGCCATTCCACAGGCATTGTTCCACCGGCAAGCAAAGAGTGAACTGGTGACCGTCCAAATATTATAAAAAACTAGCATCATCTTCTGCTATTACACCTCTAATTGTAAATTCCATTAATCCAAGTTTATTGATTAATACGTCACAATTTTTGTTACAAGTGAGTCATATCAGTTTATCGTAGAAGAAACACGCCTAGAGATATATTAGGCAACCTTGAAATTTTGACATTTGACTCTGTGATAATTTTTAGGTGATAACTATTTATTGACGCTGACTTTGACACTAGGATTAAGTCATAAAAATGGAGAATTCGTACAACAAAGTCACGCACGTTTTGTTCGACATGGATGGACTCTTGCTGGGTAAGATGAATTATGATGTAATTTCTGACATTGTGTTAAATGTATAGCAACAGTAGCGTGAGAATTGCGTGGTGCAGCCTTGTGTAACTTCACGTGTTTCACCGTCATCAGAGTTCAGAATCGAAAGTCTATTAATTTCCTGGGATGAAATTTCATGTGAAAATGACACGGATTAACTATTACTTTGTTATTTCAATAAATGATGAAACGTGTGTCATTTGCATGAAAAAAATATTTGGTATTTTAAGTATATGGTATTTTTTATTACAATTTCCTCAAGTATTCAATAAATTATTATTCTCAAAACCAGATGACGTTGATTGAGGATAATATTTTTAACTCACCGAATTTCCCGGAATATTTCCACTATACACCAATTCATGTTCGTTTCCGGGAAATATATCTAATGTATACCTCAGTTTTCTTTGACATCATTAACGCAATAATGACATTCTTGGAAAAGATGCTAGTTGTATCCTCGTGTTTTTTTATAGCTTTAGATTACAAATCAAAAGCCTAATAAATTTCTGATAATTTACCTCCGTCATCAACAGGAAGTAGAGCCGAGGATTCCTATTCGTGATTCATATTCGTGATTTCCTGGTAGATCAAAGTCAGCATCCACTACGGTTTAATGGGTTTATGGATTTAATATTAATATACCTGTCCCGGCAATAAATAATATTGTACCAATAATTAATCTGATGCTATCCTATCCTCAGAATAAATATTTCCACGAAGAGTTCTTTATTAGAATTTTTCTAAACAATTCCAATCATGAATAAACAGATACAGAGTACCGGTACACTGAGATTTACAACAGAGTGATAAGAGAATACGGTGATTACACTTTCACTTGGGACCACAAGGCCACAACGATGGGCTTTCATCCTATTGAAAGTGCCAAGAAAGTGATAGAAATATTCAATCTCCCAACGACTCCCGAAGAATTCATGGAACAACTAGCTCCCCACTACCAGGAGTTATTCCCACACAGTCAACTGATGCCAGGTATACGAAAATACCAATATACTAACAATGTTTCTTTTTTCGATTTGTGCAGATTCCGAAAGCGTATACAAGAAAATTTACCACACAATAGTCTCTGAGTATGGACATACCTATGGAGGGGATATTGCATACGCGGTCTTGGGACGTCCAGAACATGTGGGATTTGAAATTATTAAGCAACATTACAAATTACCACTCAGCATTGAAGAATTTTCTAATTCTTATCAGCAGTTACAGCGAGACATGTTCGTTACGATTAGAGTTATGCCAGGTTGAGATTTATAAAAAAAAAAGACTCAATGTTTTTTATCTGTTGGATTCATTAGTTTAGTTATGGTTTCTTAGCTCATACGACTGATGGAATTGGTACATCATCAATTTAATGATTTCATTCTATTTTTTTTTTGCCGAATACTGAGTACCAGTTTGCGAATCTGCCATCATATATCGACTAATTTAGTAAACTAACACAATTTTTCGGTCATATGAACGGTGATGGAATAAATTTGTCACCATGCGGTGACAATGTGGTCATGTTGTTAATATTGTAGTTAAAAAAACAGTGAATTAATTATTTAAAATTCTTTCATTTCTAAGATTTATTCTAAATTTTTATGTTCAGCTATAAAAATCATTCCATCATTTTTCAGCACATCTAAGAATTTCAAGGGTTTAATCATCTCGTTTTTTGGTGTCGACAGGTGCAGAAAGAATCCTAAACCACCTCCACAAGCACAACATTCCAATCGCCCTAGCCACAAGCTCTGGTGAGACCAGTTACGAATTGAAAACAAAAAAAGTTAAGCCAATGTTCGAATTGTTTCATCATAAAGTACTTGGGGGATCGGATGGCGAAGTTAGAAATGGTAAACCAGCACCGGATATATTTCTAGTGGCTGCCAGACGATTCGATGACAATCCAGACCCGTCCAAGGTAAAGTTAGATTTAAAAATTTTCTGAGACATTTGAAATTTGAATTCGTATTTTCCAGTGCCTAGTGTTTGAGGATGCACCGAATGGTGTTCAAGCGGCTCTAAGTGCAGGAATGCAAGTTGTTATGGTACCTGACCCAAATTTACCAAAAGATTTAACTAAAAAAGCAACTCTAGTCCTTGGAAGTCTAGAAGAATTCAAACCAGAACTCTTTGGATTACCACCATTTGACGATTAACTAGAATTTATTTCTACAATCTCCAAATAGTTGAAAATTCGTCATCGATTAACCATAGACCTCGACCAAGTGACGATGAACAAATAAATAAAAAACACTAATGAAAACTTTTAATTGTCACGTTATGCAAAATTATTGTAAAGAATCGTCGCCAGGTGCTGACAACAATGTTCTTATTTAATTTCATTCTTGAAGATTTAAACATTTATTTTGATAAATAGTATTATGTATGCAATAAAGTGGTTCTCAACACTAGCTTTATCATTCTTTCCTTCCAATGAATATTTAATTCTAATTGCCTTTATTTAGTTATATTGTGAACTAGAATATATTATAGTACATGGGGAAATTTGGCTAGAGTGCAGAGTTCTAGGGATTTGCTGTCGCCAATTGCTGTACTTTTTTAAAGATTTCCTCGGAATTCATGTTCGCGAGAGATACTGATGACTCCTTCCCAAATTCTGAAAGGAGAAAATTCAATTCTTCAACAGAATTTTTTCTTTTCTACTGAATATCTTTTTGTAGATGGATCAATCAATTCGAGAAACTGACGAATTGGAATGTTGGATTGATAAGTTTCGTTTTGTAATTGTAAGACTTGATATTACTCTTTTTTTATTGTGATGTAACTACTCACCATATCGTGCGAACAGCCTGGGCTCAATGTTCGAGCATTCTCTTATTAAAACTGGGAATTGTGGGTTTGCAATCTTTAAGGGCACATATTTGCTCTCTACGAAATCTCTGAAAAAGTCAATTTTGTGAATTTTTCAAAGTTGATTTTTGCGGGACATAACCTTCAAGCCTACCAGAATATCATTTTTCAAATTTATCCACCCTTTATTATAAAATGACTTATCATCAACGATTAGAACACATTATTCGGAGTATTTACCTGACTCCCTGACTAGACTTTGAGGATTGGCACAGAAGAATTCGAAGTTCCTTCAAATGTGGACCAAATTTGACGGCCGCCATATTACCAAATAAAGGGCTCACTACGCGCATAAAAATTTCATCGAAAAAATATCTGGAAAATGACGAAAAAATCGCCTACTGAAAGGGACAAAATACGGTCAAATATAAAACAATTATTTATAACTATTGCAAAATCCTGAAGGATAAGTTCCCCAATTTTTCATAGAATTCAAATGATTTGAGAACAATGTATTGGGTTTTGTTTTGATTAGATAAGTAATGTACTTCAAACTGTAAAAGTTCAGGTTTCTTCGAATACTTCAGGCATAACCTGCAGAAAAATTACATAAAAATGTCTTGACGAGAACATCAATAAATTTTCCAAAATTCTTCAAAATTCCCAGTGAAAAACATCATGTCGCTGCCTCCTTTTTTTACCCGCCACTTTCCATCGTATGTCAGAGATCATACAGTCAGAGATGTCCAGGTTTACTGGTACCATCCGCAGTTCACTCAGAGCCGATATCCACCTGGTCAACAAGGCAAACATTTTTTCCTTCTATTAAATATCAAATGATTTTCGTACATCTAGATGATCTGCGAATTTCCTGTTAAATACTCATGTTCGCCAAAGTATTCTACTAAATTACAAAATTATTTTTAATAGTAGTCTGCAATACTATGTGAACTTTATTTTATAATGAAAATTTTTATTTAATTGCGGCTGATTAGTCAGCCAAGCTTGTACGTTGATATGTCTCCTAGTCGCTCAAAGAATTTGCGAGTCACACCTGCAAATCATGAATGTAGAGACCTCGCCTGAGCTGGCAGTGATAATAGCAGAATCAATTGTAGAAGGAAATAGAAATCATGCATGGATTCTCCAACGCGGACTTGTCAGTCATCCTTATTTGAGCACAGACGAGGCTCTCAGATTTGGCGGAAAACGTTTAAAAACTATTGTAGAATGGGTAAGCGACAATGCCCAAGTCCCCAAAAATTGTTCAATAATTTATTCAGCGAATGAATACTCTTTTACGTAGAAGCGTATTTGAAAATTTTTATTGCTATTCAATTTTATAATTTATCATTTACAGAAGTTTCAAGTATTTACCGAGAACATTGAGATAAATCTCTGTCAGAACATTCGAAGATTTTTGCGGGATTGGTACCAGAAACCTCGAGGCGACACTCTTATTATGCTTTTAATCACCTGTGGCCGAACAGTCTTATTTCTATTTCAGAGTCGAATGAATAAAATAACACTTTTCGATTCCCATGGCCACAGCACGGCGAAGAATCCGCACAGAGGATTGGTAGTTGCTCAAGTAATATTCGCATTATCGATGTTTCATCCAATTCCATTGAAATTGTTGCAAAAAATTGAATTTTCCTTCAGGCAAAATACGAAAATTTGTATGCTTTATGTACCTGGTATGTCCAAGAAGTTCTTTACAATTGCTTCAACGTCTACGCAGATCAGTACGAATTAGCCTTTTTGTACTATGCGAATCCGGGATGCTGTGGGAGTGGGGAACATTTCTGTGATTGTGGCTGCAACAAGTGCTGAAGGAAAAACAATCTAGGAAGGCAGTATAAAAATGAACAATCAAACTCAAATCTTTGCTTCGTTATTCCGTTTCATGAAAATCAGGAAAAAAATTAAACTATTTTATATTCAGATATACTGACATTTATTTACATTATTTACAGTTTCTCTAAAAATTACTTTTATGTTTTCATGTTTTTCAATGTTCCTATGTTGTTTAGAATTTGTCTATTTTTTTTACAACAGAGTTTTTAGATTTTCAATGAGTCTTACAATTTGTTAATATTTCATATCATCAAAAATATAAATTCCATCGAAAATATTCTGTTGGACACTGTGAATTCGAGATGAGTTAATTCATTGATTTTTCTAACAGTTTAAGAATCAATAATTGAAAGATTGAACATCTAGATTGTTTCATTTGAATATTCAAGATTAACGTCTGTTACAAGATGGTGAAGTCTAGGAAGAGGGATTATCCACAGAGCATTAATTTCATATAGATTTTTTCTCTCTCTTCAACTATATCTCAGCACCTAAGAGTCATTGAATCATATAATAATTTTCGTGTCGCAAGGTCTGGAAATGATTTTTACAGGCCTACGTCACGAACAAGTGTTCAAATCTTATTATTAATGACGGCGCCCTCGAAGGTTAAAACATTGAAAAAAAATGAAATTTTTTAAATTTCCCTTTGCGCATCACTTCATGTATAATACAGCACGCTATGAATGTTTCATGTAACATTTAAGTATCGCACGGTACAAAAATTAAAAAGAACAATAGTTTAAAAAAAAGTAGTTCCAGTTAAGATGGCCAGAACCAAAAATTATTAAATCTAACAAAATTTTCTAATTCGATGAACTGAAAGTGAACATGAAAAATTAGGAAACAAATAGTACGAATTACCTTTTTTCCGGTAAGTGATGCACGGAAACCTTCTGTTCATATTTTACAAGTGTAGTGTATGAGGCGTTGTCATAGCCCATTTAATGATGTCGCCCTTCTCTTTTATCTATCTTCTTCTCAACGTTTTTCCTAAAATTCTTCAAGGTATTTAATATCTACAACAATCGTATGGACAAATTCTTTTTTATGTTTTCGTAAAAATATATATTCCCAAGCCGAAAGAGAATTGGAATTTAATCATTTCAAATCAATGCAGTGACTGGTTATTTTTCTGTTCTATCATTCTAAATGCATTTTCCACGGATAAGTTGAGCAATGGCCGGCGTACAATCGGAGATTGTAGTTCAAAACTTCTTTTTATTTTTCTGCTTTCAAGTCGATATTCAATTTTTTGTGAAAGTTATCATTCAGTGTTGGCGTAACGAATTCCAAGAGCTTCTTATGAAATTCATTTTGAATTGCAGTTTCTCAAAAACGTTAGCGTCAGCTAGACGATTTTTTTTTTCTCAAAAAAGCCAAGCATCAGGTTACGTATGAAAGTAGTTACGTTTTCATATCGGAAGAGAATATTCAACGAAATAAATTAATGATATTCAGAATTCCTTATTGTAACGGTGGGATGTTAGAGGGTCTGATCAATCCTAGGCTGTGCCCACTCCACAAAATCATCAATTAGCACCGGCCAGGCACCCTCCTCATCATAATTAGTCATATCTGGATTTATCATCAGTGCGAAATCCAGAAGAAGATTCCAGGTATCTTTAGGAATTGATCTTTTGTGATGCTCCTGTAGAAACTGACACCACAGCTGGAGAAATTTAAATTTTTCTTCCAGAACGATATTCCAGTACGCAATGGCCATATCAAGGTCAAGCCCCTTTTGTCCTGGATTCTTAGCGTAATTGAATGTGAAGTGATAAAAATCCTTGAACTTTTGAGGATCACGTAGCTCATTCTCTAGGCTGTTCAGTCTTGCCTTTAATTTATCCGTGCTATCAACTCCCAATTCGGTCATACCATTCATAAACTCCTCTTTTGTAAATTCGCATTGGGTTTCAGCTCGGAATTTCCAGGCGATGATCAGCACGAGTTTACTCTCAGGACTGAGCCCGAGGTCGTCGAGAAACTTCATAATCCCATCTGCAGTAATTTTATCCGGTTCATTACCATCTAAAAAATATAATAATCCATTTTTTAATGATCTCTATGATTTTCCCGCTGAAAAAAGGGGCCCTCTTACCTTGATATCTGGCGAACAGTGCCTCCAGTCTCTTCTTATCAACACTGAAAATACTCTTTGATTCTCTATAATAAGCATCGGGATTTTGAAAATAGTTATCGCTCGCCAGTTCCAACTTCCAGTCGTTCTGTGCAAGACAATAAATAGCGGTTTGTTCGCCAGTCTGAGTGAAAGTTATGAATTTCTTAACCTTGTCCTTTTGTGAGAATTTCAGCTTATGCTATAAAAATAAACACAACGAATTGTGACTTTACAAAGCAGTCTCATTGTTTGCACCAGTGAACTCTCAGGAAAAGCCTCAAAAAATAGCAAGTCCAATGATCAACACTGTGAGTCATTCAATGACAATCTCAACTTTAATTACTCCGAAACAGAGTGAATAATTTGAGATCATGATCTCTAGGTTAATTGCCCACCATCAAAAACATACCAGAATATTCAAAAAGTTAGAAACAGAAAGGGGTTTTTATTCCTGCCCTCATCCTGTCAATAAACGTGAATAGTGAATTTATAAGAGACTTGAATAAAATTCTTACCATTTTTTATGTAATTTTAGGCCCCCGAAAGCCAAAATATTATTCCCTTGAGACTACACTTGACATGAATATGCGCATGTCTCCGTTCGCCTTTTTTCCATGCGAAGAAATAAAAAAAAAAGTACTTGAAGAAACAACGGGATAACTGGAGAATAGTGGAGTGTCTCCATCTGATCGTGCCAAATTGTGAACACCATCTCAATAATTGGATTCCTTTATTTCAAACATTATGATCTAATTATTTATCACGATGTACTTAGCAAAAGATAAATTAATATAATTTTAAGGGCCAGTGTTTCGGTAACTTACCCCATCTACAGTTAAAAATGAAATAAATTTAACCAATTTAAATTTTGAATACATTTTAAATAATTTAACTAAATAAAAAATGAAAATATTTGGTACATTTTCAATTCCAGAGATAATTAATTTGCATTTGAAAATGGCGACCCATATGTTAACGAGAGAAACAAGTCGGGGAAATAATTCTACTAACGTGGAATAGTTCTAATACATCATATAATTAATTAATTAAGTTAATTATACTACAGATCATGGCGGCCTCTCTGTCGTGGGGTCGGTACTGAATTTCTTCGGGTTGGTTTTGGGTGAATCTCCTTCAAACCTGTGACTCCACCGGCATCGTAGTACTGCACCCCAAGAGAGGGGGGCGCCATACGCAATACGGGGGTGTTTCCCCACTCGGTAACTGCCTCAGTAGTCCGGCTGTCAGAGGGACTAGTCGACGGGGTGAATTTTATGTTCTGTGGTACCAATGGTTTTTGTTTTTTATTTTTTTAACCGAAATTTAGCCGACTGTTGAACGAGCGGAAGGGGGAAGCCACATCTTGTGGATTTCAAATGAAAAAAATTATTCAATATATTGAAGATATACTACTAATGAAATTATAATTTTATAATCAGCACATTGTTTAATGGGCAACGTGGTTGGCTGGCACACGAACGGCTGGGGTTCGATTCCGCCATCATTCATTTTTTTTTTTCAAAATAATTCCTATTTTTTCTTTTGCAAATGGTTAATCAATCGAAATATTGTTTAAAAACTGGATACTTGAAAATCGAAAAGATATCCAGTGAAATTGTAAAATTCGAAATTTTTTAAAACGATCGTTTTTCAATACATATACTCCTAATGAAACTTCATTATTGCAATGAGTGCGTTGGCTAATCGTCAACGTGCTTGACTAGCACGCGGATAGCTTGGGTTTCGATCCCGCTATCATTCATTTTTTTTTTTTAAATAATTTCAATTTTTTCTTTTGTAACTGGCTAATCAATCGAAATATTGTTTAAAAACTGAATAGCTCCTCGATTTTCATGTTCCCCTGATACTTTTTCAAAAATTTCGAATTTTTCACTTTCAGTGAAAATTTTAGCGAATAGCTCCTCGATGGTCATGTTACCCTGATACTTTTTCAAAAATTTCGCATTTTTCACTTTCAGTGAAAATTTTACTGAATAGCTCTTCGATGTTCATGTTACCCTGATACTTTTTCAAAAATTTCGAATTTTTCACTTGCAGTGAAAATTTCAATGAATAGCTCCTCGATGTTCATGTTACCCTGATACTTTTTCAAGAATTTCGAATTTTTCACTTCCAGTGAAAATTTCAGCGAATAGCTCCTCGATTGTCATGTTCCCCTGATACTTTTTCAAAAATTTCGAATTTTTCACTTTCAGTGAAAATTCCAATGAATAGCTCCTCGATGGTCATGTTACCCTGATACTTTCTCAAAATTTTCGAATTTTTCAATTGCAGTGAATACCTTCTCGATGTTCATGTTACCCTGATACTTTTTCAAAAATTTCGAATTTTACAATTTCACTGGATATCTTTTCGATTTTTAAGTATCCAGTTTTTAAACAATATTTCAATTGATTAACCATTTGCAAAAGAAAAAATAGGAATTATTTTGAAAAAAAAAATGAATGATGGCGGAATCGAACCCTAGCCGTTCGTGTGCCAGCCAAGCACGTTGCCCATTAAACAACGCGCTCATTATAAAAATATAATTTCATTACTAGTATATCTTCAATATATTGAATAATTTTTTCCATTAGAAATCCCACAAAATGTGGCTTCCCCCTTCCGCTCGTTCTACAGTCGGCTAAATTTCAGTTAAACAATCAAAAAACAAAAAGCATTCATACCGCAGAAAATAAAATTCACCCCGTCGACTTGATGGACACCCCAGCATTGCAATAAAAACTTGGTTAATAAAAAAAAAACACCCTAGCATTGCGTGTGGCGCCCCCCTCTCTTCTCTGGATCTTCTCTGGACTCACCTTTAGTCAATCTCTGAATATATATATATTGGGTTGGGTATATATCCATATACCCAACTGCCACTTATGTACCTCGTGCTAGGTAGGGGGGCATTGACGGGTCCGGTGTGGTGGCATTGGAGCAAGTCAGAGTTGGTATAAACCTCCACCTTCCTCCAGTATCGAATTTTCCCCCGTTTTTTTTTGTTATTTCGGTGGTGTAACTACTACGAGAATATCGTTTTATATCAAACCCCCTTATCGATCATCCACTCCCCCTTTTAATCTCAGTACATACCCTCGGTAAATGGTGGTAAATGGTGGTAAATGGTGATGATGGTGGATAACTGCAAAGCGTGTTAATTAATGAGGACATAATTCAGCTGTTAAAAATATGAATTCATGCATCCATTCGGATAAAAGGTTGTAGATAAAAATATCTGACAAGAGGAGAATCTGTGATCGTTTGAGGAGTGAATTAAGGTGTGATGATGATGTGCTTGAGACCCACCAGGAGAAAAAACCAAGATTTAATAACGTGGTAACGAGTAGTAGACTGAGTTGGTATTGTTATTGACTTGGTGAGAGTGACAGGGTCCATGCAGCTCCTGGGCTCCTCCTGACGAACGATACGGTAATTGTTGGTGATACAATTGGGGTTAAGGGCTCTTGTGGCTAATGGGGTGTTTTAGAGGGTTTTCGGGTTATTTTTACCGGTGTTGTACGTGAAATGGGGAGTTCTTGGTGGCAGTGTACTGCATGCCTCAGAGCGCAGGAAGAGGACATCTGCGAGCTACAGTTGAATCACTGCAATCTGTATGATGTACCGCCGGACGTGTTCATTTATGAGAGAACACTGGAGATGCTTCATTTGGATGCTAACAGAGTAATTATCGAAGATTTGTCAGTTATTCTTTCTCATGAAATAATGAGAATTCAGTTGTGACTTGTTCACTTCTTTTATTTCTCTTTGTTTGTAGATAAAGGACCTGCCAAGACCATTATTCCAGTGTCATGAACTTCGTGTGTTATCACTCAGTGATAATGAAATTACTACACTACCACCCGCCATAGCTTCCCTTATAAATCTGGAGCATCTAGATCTCAGTAAAAATAGTGAGTTCGATAGGAAGTACGGTATTATCTTCGTCAATAATAGAATTTGAGAATAATAGTATTGTTAGATACTGACATGAATAGAATCTATGAGAAATCCTCTGGAACTTTATTCCATAATTTTTATTTTATTTTTTATCACAATTCATCATTGACCAATAATTGTAACCAATTATAAGCCTAAGCTCATGTGGTGTTATCATTTGACATGTAAAATATAAATATTAAAAGAATCTGAGATATATAAAAAAATTACCCATAATTTGTTTTTTTCTTTAATTAAATTCAATTGATAAATACAAAAATTCTTTTGACTTGAACATAAATTTTATTTATAATAATGAAATCTCAGAGGAACCTCAGAGAATGACTTAATTACGGTCTGGTAATTGATGAGTAAATTGGAATACTTTAATTTTGTGTTGCAGGTATAAAAGAGCTTCCCGACAGCATAAAAGAATGCAAGAACCTCCGTTCCCTCGACCTCTCTGTGAATCCATTCGAACGCTTCCCAGACGCCATAACGCACATAGTAGGTTTGCGTGAATTATACATAAACGACGCATACATAGAATACCTCCCAGCGAACTTTGGTCGCCTCTCATCACTTCGCACACTCGAGCTCCGTGAGAACAACATGATGACTCTTCCAAAGAGTATGAGCCGCCTGACAAACTTGCAGAGACTCGATATTGGTAACAATGATTTCACAGAACTTCCCGAGGTAGTCGGTGATTTGACAAATTTGACTGAGCTTTGGATCGATGGTAACGATATCCGTCGTATCCCAGGGAACATCGAGCAATTGTATCGATTGAATCATTTTGATTGCACGATGAACGCTGTCCATGAATTACCATCAGAGATCCAAGGCTGGCGTGACATATCAATTATGAATTTTTCATCAAATGAACTTTATCAATTACCAGATACATTATGTTATTTACGCACAATAGTCACCCTTAAAATTGATGATAATCAATTGAATTCACTGCCAGATGATATTGGACAAATGTCAAATTTGGAAGAACTTATTGTGACAAAAAATTTTTTGGAGCACTTACCGTCATCAATTGGTTTACTACGTAAATTACACTGTTTGAACGCTGACAATAATTATCTACGTGCATTACCACCTGAAATAGGTAGCTGCAGTGCACTATCTCTCCTATCATTGAGGTCAAATAATATATCGGGTGTGCCTCCTGAGCTGGGACACTTATCCTCATTGCGTGTTCTCAATCTTGTTAATAATTGTATACAATTCCTACCGGTATCCATGCTTAATTTGACCAATCTCAAGGCACTCTGGCTGAGTGACAATCAAAGCCAGCCTCTTGTTCCTCTCCAACAAGAGTTCAACAGAGAGGAAGATATGATGGTGTTGAGTTGCTTCATGCTGCCACAGAAACAGAGGAAGGAGCTTGAACGTGAGTTATTTCATCATTCCTAATCAAATCAATCAATTCACTTTATATTATAATTTGCTACACAATTATCTAATTCATTGATTCATTATCCCCTTTTTAACTTTATCAATAATCTCATACGCTTCATTAAATTAATTGGTATTGAATTAATAAATCATGCTGCTAGTGGAGAGTGAGGTGGCAGAGGATGAGGAATGAAATGGTAAAATAGGAGACAGTCGATGGAAAAAAATTGAGAGTATAACATTTTGTTATTATATTTGGCTTCAATTTTGTTATAGAAATTGAACAAGCAGTGGGGCCGATTTCCGGTTCAATCGTTGGAACCGGAAGGAGAATATGTTTTGCTGCTGAAGTTGACACCGAGGTCCCTAGACAGCTTCATCGTGCACCGACCCCTTACCCAAAGGAGCTACGCAATCTCGCGAGACACGCACGCAATCTTCAACATCAATCCCTGCATGATCAAAGGGTAAAATATTTGTTGTACTGATTCCAATATTTTAAAAAATAATCATTTTCGTTTTTCAGATCCAACTGGAACGAGATGGAGTTATAAAAGAAGCAGTAGTAGCTAAATCCAGCCCATCGCTGAACCTCTCCAATTCCCAGTCCCATCCCCTGCCTGCCCTTCATTCCCCTCAAACGCAATATGAAGATCCTCTGGAGGAGCCAAATCAGCCAGTCCTCGCTCAGGAAAAGACACCTGAAATTCGAGAAGCCAAATGCGTCAGAAATCCTGGCTCTGAGTACCTCTCACGACCCCCGACTATTGCGGATTACGTGAGCTCCACCTGGAAACCAGAAGAATACTCTCGAACAAATACAGCGAAAATAGTTGAATCGGAGAAGCTCGCTGAGGCTCACAAAAATCCAGAAATCACTTCCAACAACCAAGGCAAAGCCAACAATGATCCTCCATTAGCACCTCCACCTTATCACATTGCTGCAGCATTTTCAAAAAAGGCTGCACTTTTTCAACAACTCAATCGACGAGATTTAGTCGATGAAATGTCGACACATTCCCACACAACTGACAATCATTCACGCAATTCTTTTAATGATTCTCCTCAAGTACAATTGTGTCAAAATAATAATCAAAATAGTAATGATCAGATTGATGGAGATATTGGTGGTAGAACGATAGATCGTTCGATTGATAAAAATTTTGTTGTTAAAGAGGATAAACCCAGTAGAATTCCTGTGTTAAGAGGGAAAAATCATGAGACTGTTTGTGATAATGAGGGTAATTTCACTGGAGATGGAAATTACAATTTGGCATTTAATGAATTAGACGATAGGGAGAGGAGGCATGACGTCATATTGAATGGCATCGAAGCACCAGTGTCACCAGTGACAGGAAGAAAATACAGGAGTCCGCTGTCCAACGCATACAATCAACTGAGGCACTCTGATAGGGGTAGGAAAATTAATGGGAGTTTTCGAGAGGGACAGGGTGAAGATAATTCTGTTGAAATGCAGAATGATCGGAACTCGGGAAGGAGTACACCGGTGGCGAATGGCGAAGCAGATGTGAATGGAGTGGAAAAATCAAAGGCTAAAGACGAAAATAAACCTAGGCTCAAGTGGATGTTTGGACCACATAGGAACGTCAATGTGGTAAATGGAATAATTTTCAGACAATTTTTTTAAGTTCTTGAATCCATTTTTTCGATATAATTCCATTTTTCATAAAAATTATTTTTGCAGATTCCCGTTCAAGTGCGAAAAAATCCAGGTTTAGGATTCAGTATTGCTGGCGGAGTAGTCGGAAATGAAACCGTAAGTTTTTTTACTCCTTTTTTTCACTCAAACTCGCGAGGGCTCATTCAATGAAATAAAGCTTAATTATCTTCATTGTTGCAGGGTATAATCATAACAAAAGTGAATCCGGATGGCCCAGCGCAAGGAACCCTCCGGCCAGGTGACAAAATTCTCGAAGTCGACGGGATAGACTTCACGAAATCGGATCACGACAGTGCAGTTGCGATTCTGCGTTCCACTGGAGCAATAGTCGCAATGCTGATAAGCAGACACCAGTGAAGACGCCCACAGTCCTTTCATTCATGAAATCTACAGCAACTTCAGGTTTTTCCTCTGAACAATAAGCTATTATTCTCCTTATCTACGTAGACTGAATATTTCTTAGTATTTATCGGCGGTAAAGTAATATCAAAATCCACTTTAATGAATTTAGAAGTAAATGAGTGAAATAACCCATGATTGTTTCATACGTTTCATTATTTTTGTCTAAACTACTGAATATCCATTACATCGGTGAAATCCTTTGCATTTAATTCTTCCACTCATTTATACAGCATTGCTGAAATGTGCCTTTTCGTTAGCGGATCAACAATGCAAACAATATTATAACACATTTATCAGCTGATTCCATACTGGTGAGTAACAATTGAAGCTAATTGTACTGTAAAATTACGCTGAAAGAATTGATATTGCTTTACTACCGCATCTTCTTTGAGTATTTTATTCCACTCATTGATTGAACCATGATGAAACCATGCACAAATGTACCTTTTGTATTTTGAATCAATGCTAAAACGAACAAGACTTTCTTTTCGTAGTTTTTGTACTTTATAGCATTAAAAAATTGAAGAATTGATGGTTGAAAATTAAATGAAAAAATTGGCGCACACTTCTAAACAATATACGTCTATTTTTATCGATTTATTCTCCGTAAAATATTTAAATGTGTAGATTACTAAACTCGATACCTTTATCTTTCATTAGAACCCGTGTGCCAGAGACTAAAAATACAAATATTTATTAATTGAAAAAATGAGAATAAAAACTTATATACGACTATATATACACATCAGAATTTATATGAGATAGTTATATGACAATGGTAGGTTGAAAAAAAAATAATATTCTTCTATGTGCCGTACTTTAATTGAATATCGTAATGTTAGATGTATCGCACTGTTGCCAACGGTAGAGATACTTTACGACTGTTTACCTGTAATTTAGAAATTAAAAAATGCCCTTTATTTGCTCAATGGCTTAATTATTTACTTGAATATTCATTATGTTGCAAATGTCTTCTTCAACTTCCTCTGTTCAATAGTATCTCTTCACACTTGAGTTCCAATTGAAGTTAAAATTGTATCGTGTAAAAAAAACGAAGAAGAATGTCCCTTGTTTGTTAACAAGGAGTTGAAACTATGAGACTAAAAATTGACTTCTCTTCGGATTATTTACCAGTGACCATGTTGGTCGATAACAGTAATGTTGCTAGGCAAAGACATTTTCATTTCAATTCGACAATTTTTCTTTTAATTTTTTCATGATTACACGGGATGAGTTTAAGTTGTGGTACCACGAGAAAAATAATACCGGGAAGTGGTAGGATAACTCGAAAGATATAACGCAAGGGATGAAAGCCTGGAATGGATGAGAGGCGATAAAAATGATTTGTTTTCAAGTTCTCACAGGACCTTGGGTATTATATATCTCCGTGTGTTGTTGTATAGAATATAGATAACCGATAAGAATTTGAAAAAAATACAGAATAAATAGATGAAGTGTAACGCTGCCACAACTGTTGACGTTGAATCATCGATTTCTTTCTTGTTTTTATTTAGTAGATATCTTGACGAGAACTTTTAACCGTTCAATTATATAGATGACTAGTCATGTACTCGTCGTTCTTTGGGGCACGAATGAAAATATTTGTATTACGTATGATATATTTATTATGTATACTCCTTACGTCGAGCGTGATTTAAGATTGTGAAGAACAATCTTAAATTCAGTTAATTTTTGCGTAATAAGTGCACATTATCGTTGATATTTTTTTTATAACGTGAGAATTGTAGTGAAAGCTTGTGTGATCCATTTAATTGTATGCACCGGAAAATGATTGAAAATTAATTGAGAAATGTTTTACTTGCACTGGCACGAGTACATGGATTTCTTTGTTATAAAAAGAAGAATCTGTCGAAAAAGTTGATCATATAATCTTTCGCGTCAACCCTTGCTACAACCTGTTAGTTGTTGAAACACTAGTTATTCTAGATAACAAAAGAAAATGTTATAGAAATTGATTGGGTGATTTAATCTGGCATCTAAGTCTCTCCGAACTATTGTTGGAGTTTACAAATTGTAGAATGAGAAAAATTAAAAATTGAAAACCTGTAAATAATAATGAGGGATTGCACAACTCTCGGCCAATACCTCTCCAATGTTTCAAACTAAACAGACTGACTATTGTTTTTTGGATGATTTGTATTTAGATAGTTGAAAAATGGAAAAAAAATTACCATGTTTAGAGTTTAAAAATATATCAGAATATTGAAGTGAACTTCCGTTGGCGGTGGCCAGGAATTGTTCCACAAATGAAAATTAATGTAAATAAAGTGACACAAAAACGCGTATATCATTGAAAATATTGTGTATTTTTTTCGCAGTAATTCCTTAGTCTAAATGAGAAGATGAGAAGGATTTTCTGCGTAGTGTTTCCACAGATTTGAGAAGTGGGCTATTGTTACGCCATCGACGACTCTATGATCAGCTGACCAATTGAGGACAATAATGTTCGCAGCTTTTATATTTCCATCGGCGTCAAAACGAGGCAATTTTTGGACTCTCCCAATGGCTCCAATAACAATTTGTGGAAGGAGAATAACGGGCTTTGCGTACGTGCCACCGACCTAAATAATTTGAATAGCCCATGACTAGAGGTTTTATGATTTGCTCAATACGTACGACTCATGAATTATTATTAACATATTAAACAATTCGATTTTCAGACTCACCACTCCAATATTAGAAAGCGAAAAAGTCCCTCCAGCTAGATCAGACAAGGGCAATGAAGCTTTTTTCCCTAGGTCCTGCAGTCTATTCAATTCCCTTGCGATTTGCGTGATGGAAAGTTCTTGTACATTCTTTATATTCGGCACAACGAGACCCGCGGGTGTGGCCATAGCTACACTGATGTTGTGACGTCTAAAGACTTTTAAGTTCTGGTTGTCTACGTCCAACCAGGCGTTCAATTGTGGAAATTTCTCCAGAGCTTTTGACGCTGCTTTTATGAAGAATGGCATAAGTGTAAGTGACAGACCCTCTGATTTTACCAAATCTTTGACGTCATTTCGTATTTCTAAGAGCTTTGTAATGTCACATTCGTCGGAGTAAACAAAATGTGGAATACTCTGAAAGAAGAACAAAGTTCATGTCTCTACACTTTTTGATATCGAAAAATTTGTTTAACAATAACTAGAGAGAATATAGGCTATTCAATTCCATAGCTGATAAAGATTATTTAAATTTCACTCACAAGTGATTGTGTCATAGTCTTCCACATGTGCTTCTGATATCCCTTCAATGAAACAATTTCTTCATCCTCATCGAGATTTCTTCCCTTTTCGTCGTCTGCAGGCACTCGACCAACTTTAGCTGTCTTCTCTCCATCATTTCCTTTCTGTTTTTCTAAAAATGTGAGAATGTCCTCTTTGAGAATTCTTCCGGCTTTTCCAGTAGGAGAAATCTCCTCCAATTTCACATTATTCTCAGCCGCAATTCTTCTAACAGCCGGTGTCGTTAAAACCTTGGCGTTTTTATCATAATAATCACCGACAATTTCGTCATCCCGTTGCTGAGATACTTGACTAGATTTACAGTCTTCTTTAATGCCTTTCGGGTCATCATTCTCGAGCTCAATGTCTACCAGGGCATCACCTACGAATGCAACCTCATCAACCTTGCAGTGAAGTGTTTTTATATGGCCATCGTATCTACTCGTTATTGTTACCGATGCCTTGTCGCTTTGCACCTCACAGATTTCATCAAACTGAGCAACTTTATCACCTGGTTGAACGAACCTATAATCCAAGACTCGCTAATTCTATTAATAATCATTCTATTATTATTGATTCTATATATAAAGTTTTTTAGATTTTTTTTTTTACCATTCCTTGAGTGTAACTTCACGAATTCCTTCTCCAATATCCGAAAGTTTGAAAGACACTATACTGCCATGTCTTGTGGTAGTGACGCGAAATAATCTCGATTGTACTCCCTGTCAACAGATAATATCAGATTTATCAATGAAAATACTTTGACATATTCCGTGTCCAATTAATTTTGAAGAGCCGTTCACTCGTTTCATGCGTTATCGGAGAAAATAATGTATCAATTATCTTACCAGCTTCATTATTAATGGTAATCGCGCAGCGAAAGCCATGGTTTATGGAAAAACTATTGCTGTAGTTATTACGACTGTTTATTATAATTGTAATTCATCCAATATTTCCACTGAGTGTTGTGAAAATTCTTGCATAAACCAAGCACCTGTAAATTTAATGGAACTGGAGAAAACTTTCACTGTCGACCAGCAAACACGATCGATACGAATTTAATTCCAACTCCCGTACGAATAATAATATTCAATGTTTAATTCATGGTTACGCAATTCAACAGTGAGTCAATAACACTGATAACGCAAGCCGCTCCGTCAGTCATTTATATCATCATCTATTTAGCTGTTTGTGACTTGATTAGAGTTCCCGATTAGCCAATCGGAGAATTATTTTTGTGTAAAATTAATGCGTGAGTGAATTTTCATGATTTACCAGTGATGACGGAAAAATAGTGGAGCGTAATAATAATTGCAATGAGTCACTTAAAAATTCAATTTATCTGCAGGCAGAAGATTTGTCGAGAATTTTCATGTAATTTCCATGCATTAAGGAAAATAGAATATCTCAAGGTGAGAAAGAGACCAATAAATTTCCTGCTTAGTGAGGTAAAATGTCCTTGTGATGTCAGTAATAGAGGGTATTGCCACAGGAAGTGATAAAAATTCAAAATAAAAGAGTGAAAGAATAGATGTTCTCCGGCTCCATTACGACCATCTAATTTATTAATCGATGGATCGCTTCAAATCCTTCACTTCCATCTTATATACCAATTTCTCATTTTTATCATGTTAATTAACTAATTTATCAACACTCGGATATATTAACAATCACCTTTCATCTCATATTTTCACAGTGATAAATAACGCATTATAAATCATTGAATTTTAACATAATTATTATAATAATGGTTGCAGATTCTCTCTCACTTTATCGATACTATCTACTGAATGATATAAACACTTCTCAGAACTTATATTTTCTTTTCTCCAAGCTGAATTTTCTCACTCACTTGAGAATTTCGCCTTTCTGAACAATAATACACAATATTGAGTGCTCTATCTTCGACTAGAATTGACCACTTCTGAGACCCATAATTCTATTCTGTCTACTAAATCCTAGAATACATTTTATCTCAAATAAATATGCCGTTTTCATAATGAAGATATGCACCACAACTTTAATTGAATTTACCGAGCACCAGAGTTTAAATAAAAAAGGGAAAATCTTTATATGCAAATATAAAAAAAAATGTATTGTCCCTCCACGAGAAAAAATAAAATAAAAAATGTCCAGAGGCCTCAGACGTATCGATCGACTCCATTGTGATTATATTACCATAATTCTCTTGTTTTATCATAAATTTTCATCGACATTACGAACAGTCACGTGAGAAATTTTAAAACCTTTTAGGTCGTGCGCGATAGTGCAGTCTACGTATGTTTTCATTTTGCATCCCTATATTTCTCCTCATCTCTCAATGTGTTATTTCTTTTTTTTTTCATTACTTAGGATGACAACGTGTTACAATGATCAACGGTAACAATCAAGCAACGACAACAATGATGGATGAGTCAGTCGTAAATGGACAAAAAGGCGATGAACGAGGATATAGACACACGTAGGGATACGTACAAGCCTTTTGTTCACAGTCCCTAATAAAACACTTACTCACTCATGTGAATTATCTAACTTCATTAGAACATTGACTGTCCACCGTTTAAGATGATAATATCAATTATCATATTATTTAAATATCATGTTATTCAAATCATTTCATTGTCTTTAAAGCCACTCACAGAAGGCCAATAACTAGGCCTCATTATTCTGTAATAATTTTCTCCATTCCACTTTCGGTTCTTGTTAAATTTGTGCAGTTGAACACTAGTTACAATACGAGAAAAAGTCTCATTGTCATTTCAATCACTAATTTCCGGCTCGGGCTAATTTTAGACAGCCGCGACTTCATCATTGGTATCATCATTCGTTTGATTAGAAGTGTTGGATGCTATTGAAATCTCAGTGACACCAGCGGATGTCTGTACAACAGCTCTTAGAGCTCGACTCAGAGGTACATGTTCACTGCTCATCTCACGACCACCATCTGAAAATATTTAAAAAAAAAAGGTTCAGCTAAAAATTGTTGTAATATTCCATTTACTTCTAAACCCGAATTTATGCATTCATTCTTTCATTACTGCAAAAGGTACATCTCATGAATATTATTACGGAGAGGAATTGTTCAATTTATTTGATAGCCACTCATACATCTCCGTATGAAACTCGAATCCGCGCAGCCTTTATCAAAATCGTTTTACTGGTTGTTCAAATATTCAGGTAAAACTCTCGGAGTTCAATAGCAGTTTTGGGTTATTGAGTTTAGTGGAAATGCGGAACGACCAGAACAACAGAGGTTTAATTCGGAAAAATGTTGATTCGAGTTTTAAAGAGTCACATCCGCTTCGAACTAGTTCATTCCCCATGATTAATTGCTCCATAATATTTTCCTGTACTTCAATTTTCTAATTTTCCCTATTTACCTCCTAAAATTCGTGTTAATGGAGCAAATCCCATAATTCTATCTCCACTAAAAACGAATTATCCATAACTCAACGGATCTCTCGATTAAAAATAAAACCCCATACCCTTTATTACTCGGTTTTGCCTTATGGCGAGGCACTTTCAAGTTTTTATGTATTTTGCCAAAAAAATCATCTAATTTCCGTACAGTAAGTCGATAGAGGAGTGTCAGGGTATCACGCAAACTGCTAACTTAATGTGGTGCACGCTATCAACGTCCATATGAATTAAATTGCCGTCAATTAAACATCCCTTTACGTTGAAAACCACATAATCAGGTAAATGTAATTATTAAAGAGATGGATCCACCCAAGTAACTTACACTTGGCAACTGATGAAGTTCCTCCACTGCTGTCCTGCTTCTTGAATGTGCTACCACTCATCGTCACTTTTCCCCTGATATTTTTTTCCGGTTGGAAGACTATTATATAAACTTTTGGTGAATAAAGACACACGAGTGTGACCGATGCACTGAGACTTATCGCCACACACAATGTCGTTATCTGTATCTCATGTGCATTACCAGTACCAAAATAAATAGGTACAAATGCAAGCCATATTATACACGTCGTGTACATCGTGAAACCGATGAATTTGCTCTCGTTGAAATTCTCCGGTATTTTACGTGTTTTCACAGCATAAATAGTGGATACAACGATGAGAAAGGCATTGTAGAGCTGTGAGAATAGAAAACTCATGTCCTGAATGTTGCATTTGAGAATGACCTGACGACGATCTGGATAGAAGTGACGAGTTCCTGGTGGTTCCACTATCATCCAGACAAGGGTTAAGACTATTTGAAAGGCAATCAGTGCTGCTGCTATGCAGACTTGAGAGGTCGGGCTTATGTATCGGGGTCGAACTGCCGATCTTGAAGCGGAATCAAAGATTCTGGCAATTCTGAAATCACACATCAATTGTCAATTATCAATAATTATTTTTCAATACCTTCTGTGAAGAAACCCGAAATATAATAGTCTCTACCTATTTGTTTTTGTCAATAGTGCTCCATAGACTGCACTAAAGCTGACACCAACGCCGAATCTCTGTAAAATACATGAGATAGTGGTGGGTTGTGCGAGAAGAACGAATGTATTGAGGTAACAGACAAGCACTCCGGCAAGTAAAATAATAGTTAGCTCTCTTCCAGAGGCTCTGACAACTGGTGTATCGCGGTGTCGAAACATGAGTCCAGCCACAGCCAGCGTGGCGATTATTCCAAGACACGATATGACAGCTGGTGCTATCGCAAATGCTGATGTCCAGTTGATGTGTTTGATCGGCAGGGAGTAGCAGCCACGTTTGTCTCGATGAGGCCAATGACCGTAACCGCAGTCTTTGCAGGTTGTCTCGTTGTACACATACTCGTACTCCTCGCACTGATCACACACCCAGCAACAGGTGTCCCCCTGTTGCTTACGAATCATACCTGGCTCGCAGGGTAATGAGCAAGCTGATATTGGCATACTCTCTGTTCCCTTCGCCCAGACCAACTCGTCGGTGTGAAAATCTAATCTGTTGTACCATTTTCCCACTACCTGGACCATTGACGAAAAAAAAAAATTGCCGTTTAGGGGATGCTGGGGTAATGACCCATTAAACTCTGGGCTTTGCATGCAAATTTCTAGTTAAAAATTCCCTCCAGACACATTTATAATTACATCTTAAAAAAATAAAGTATAGAATTATCTCGATCTAAGACGGCATTTTTTGCACTGTGAAAATATTTAATATTGCAAGTCATTTATTGTTAGGATGAACTGGTTAAAATGTTGTTGTTAAAAAATGAGTACTAATAAAGTAATGACTTTATTTAATAATGGATGGATTACGGTATTTCACCGATTAAATTGGAAACTGAAATAATCTGTTATTCAATAGTTCCACTTTAATTTATCCGCTGATGTGAATTAAAATTGAAAAAAAAAGAAAAAAATGGTGCAATTTATCCAATTTGTCAGACTTGACCAAGCGTTTCAATTGATCGAATAACCCGCTTTATTTCGAAATAAAAGCTTTTCCCTTGAAATCCATTAAAACCCTTTTCTCCAGGATTTTGAATACTCCCCGATGACGTGTAAATCGTTAGTCACACTTTTTTTCTCTCTCGGATTATCTGAAAACTCAATTGTTCCCACTCACCCGGTAATAATATCCATTTGTTCCACTCTGATTGGCCTTTCTAAAGTTGAGAATCTCGTACCTGGCAAGACCGTCACCATGCTCGTCAAACTTTACCTCGCTGCCAGCAGAATCTACGAAAATTATTGGAGAATTCAATTAATTATCCTCAGACACCCGGAGGGTTTAATGTGGTATGCCTGGGGGAGAACTATTCCTCTTTTCGCTTGAGCTCAAAGTTTACAAAAGCACAGGAGGAAGAGATAAAGGATGAGTAGGAAAAGAATGGGGATCTCAATGTTGGTGAAAATACCCAGAGGACCGAAAAGCTTTCCACACTGTATTTATCATGGCAAAGTCCAGTCTTACAAGTGGAGATTTCACCACGAATCTGAATTTAACACAAACGAATGAAAAAAATATATCAACTCAACTCATTCGTTATACATTTATTTATCTTAATCATTATTACTCATCCGCCGCGAAAAACAGAAGTGATCTATAAATTTTTATTTTCAGTTCAACAGTGAAAATTAAATCATTTATTGTTGAGTAATTGGAGTTATCATCCCTATCTCTCTACTCAGTATTTCAAAGGCACGTTTCACTGGCCTTTATTTTTGGCAGATTGGAAGTGACCTCCAATCTTCGGATCAACATCCAATATTCAAGAAAAAAGCTATATTATTTCCATCCAAGAGAACGTTTCCAGAGACAAATCGATCTCCCTAAAAAAAGGTAGAGAAGATCTATTAAATATTCCTACAAAAATAAACCGAAAAAACCGACTATTCGATAATTTTTTTTTACGTCCAAATCAATAGAACGGTTATCGTAGAAAAAATTAATTGGCGCCCGAAAAAAATCGTATCATCACTTCCCTTCTAGTAACTGAAGACGGTAGAATCCTAATCCGTTAATTTTCCACGATCACAATTGATAATCATTAATATTTATTTGCACACTTGAATGTAAGCCAAACAAAAAAAAAATCGTGGAATATACGTGAGACGATAAAATGGTTTTTCAGAACCATTTTGAATTCAAGTCACGCGCGTATATCCATATCCGTGACAAATTTTCCGAGGATTTTCTCAGACGGTGAGATCCAATCGTTTTTCCCTCGATTTCTTTTTTTATTCCTGTTTTCCTCATTCTTCCCTTTTTCCTAGCCGTTTGGCATTTCCTCTCTCTCATTGTCAATTCCTCCCCAGAAAGTTCTACAACAAATAAATTCCATTTACGTTTCTCTTGTTTTCTGAGAATTCCTCTCTCCAATCTATCAATCCTCCAATCACCAAATATTTTATTCATTCAATGAAAATGATAACAAATAAAACAATATCTAACGGGTAATGATTTAATATTCCCCAGCCTCCCCTAGTCTTTCACTCACAATGAAAAACTATTTCATCACAAACATTGCAATTAAATCGGTGTGATTAATTTACGTAGAACGAATAATAACCGTCGAAGCAGACGGAAAAGCGATTTGAAGGGTCTGGTTGTGGGGGGAAGAATCGATAGCCTCTTTGGATATTGATGTGAGAGAAGCCTTCCACTTGCACAGATCCATACAAAAAAGGCCCATAGGTGAGCCTGAGGAAAAAAGAATTAGAGAATAAAAGTGTGAGAGTGCTTGAGAACATTAAACGGACAGACTTTTCCATATCGCACTCTTATTCAATCGGTTTGAATATCCCCTTCTCGATGTCTTTGATCATTTCTCTCAGAACTGAGGAAAATAAAATAAAGTCGATGTAAAGATGAAAAAAATAATGAACAAATACTTTAGTCACTGCAAAATCGCTAACACCTCAATCAATTGAATAGAATCCACTGCTGTAAAATAAATCACAAATGCTAAAAAAAATTGACTAACATGATCTGGTGGAATCTCGTTAATTTCTATTGAACAATTATCGATGCTCTCGTTCTCTTTGTGAGTGAGAACATGTGGTGCACACAAAATTTCCACTCACCTGTAAACGACACGTTGAGGAGGTACTTCTTGTAGAAGGTACCCTTGTCATAATCGATCATCGCCTGACAAAGGGCCTTACTCTTGCCACATAGATCTCTCTGTAGATTATGCAGTGCAATAGCAAAAGCGTAAACAGCATCAACAACAAATTGCACCTTGGACTCTTGTTCGTAGCCATTAGCTGGTGTTAGACTTAATTTTGGTGAGCAAATAGTTAAACTCTTATTGGTTTCCAGAGGTAAATTTTTTCTGAGCACACAGCCAAATACTTCCTCCCAATACTCGCCAAACCAGGGATTCCTCCGATTATTTTCTGGTGTCAATTCGGCCATGTATTCGTCAAAGCCGGGAATATTTTTTGACTGGAGTTCAACGGTAATTGCACCCTCGGCCTCGTCTTCAATACCCTCGACTAATTTATTTTGACGACCCCAACCGTCCGAGGCTATCCACTGAAATGGTTGACTCAAATTCGATCTTCTCGCTGCTTCAAGAATTCTCCTGGCATCCTCAGCCCTGGTGAAGAGCACCACAGCTCTCGCATTCGGTTTTTTCGACAGCTTTTGAATTATTCCGTCGAATATTTTATCATCTGCTGCACTTGGTACCTTTTCTGCTGCTGCTATGCAGACATTTCTCTCGGTTGCCTCTCGTGTGAATACCTGGCGGGTTGATTAGATTAGATATTTCGAGGAATATTCAGTTTGGGTTTGCATGTTGAATATTTTATCGATTTACCTCGATACCGTATTCACCGTAGGATCCCTCGGAGTAAACTGTTGATACGTATGACCAATTGGCACTTTTAACGACATCCACTAGTGCAATTGACTGAAACGTATCCGGTGGTACTGTACGAGCAAAGTAGTCAAATCTAGTTTTGTCACTCAGGGCTTTTGCTGTCGAGGCTGGTGATATTTGAGGGATGTGGAATAACCTCAGGAGATTGGCAACCTGATGAAAAAACTTCGGTGCATTATCAAATTTCCAATCTCAATTTAATTATACGAGGTCATAGTAAAGTTCAAGGAGAATATCTAAGTTAGTACAGCACTGAAAAACCTTGAAAAATATTGAAAATAGTATTGTACTCAGTGTTCAAGGTGAATGAGAAAATTCACATGAAATTAAAAAATATTTTTCATATCGTCGAGTTTAAAATGTGATGATCGATAAATTTTTCCCCGATTTTTCTACTCACTACGAGAAAAATGGAAAAACGTTGAACATTCCTGGAAAAATAATTCAGTTGAGTTCGTAACTCGTGGATATAAAAATGTGAAGTCCGTAGGAATGTTGGGCAATGTTAGGAATGCATGATCAAATGCATTAATTCCATTTTCCCATGTCGTAAAAATTCTCAAACTTATCAGCAACTCGAACTTCAATAGTAATCTCCCCAGAGGAAATTCCTCACCTCTCCATTTTCACCCACATCACCACTTGGATACTCTCCAATTTTAAATAGGTATATATCCTCCACCAAGGTTTCTCTAGTTGTACAAACATACGCATGGAAAATACAACATTGCCCTTGATCTGGAATCTAGCCAATTTTTTATCACGAAACCCATGAATGAATCCTCCATTTGTTGCACACTCTCGTTAGCATTACTCAAATAATTCCACGTGTTTAAAATAATCGTCCATTCGATTACACCAGTTCTACTGAATAACAATAACAACAACAATTATAATTACAATAAAACAAAGTCCACACTTTCCACGATTTTACGTAATTTTTGGCAGAAATTACTCGTTACTTTGGCGATTCTTTTTTTTTTATTGAGATAAGACGGTTAATGACGTGGAAATGAGAGTAAAAAGTCACTAGTTCCTGTGAATTGTTAATTTTATTAAATACACTCGTTGCCCAAGTGGATATTTGCGTGTGGAGGAAGGTGAATTTTTAATACTGCTGATTAAAAAATCGAGGGACTCTCGCAGAACTGACCTCTGAGAGGGCAATCAGTAGAAACGCTCGTGCTTGGTCAGGCGATAATGCATTTAACCAAGGGAGAATTTAATTGAACCTGGGGTGAATTATATTAACACAATTTCGCTTTATTTTAATGATCGTATCACGGACTCATAAATTAATACATTTATTTTTATTTCGATAATTTTTATTTTTATTTTTATTAAATACTATTCCTTCCCATGAAACATCCGCAGGCTTTTATTAAATCAACATAAAATTTTTAATAAATAGTACTCTTAGTATATTTAATTGGAGGGGTGAGAAACAGTGGCCCAAATATTTTTAATTGATTCAGGGTTTTAATGGATTCATCTAGCAAACGATGAAAATTTTGTGAGAACGCGTTGTAATGGGGAAAATCATGTCTGAGGGATAAGAAATGAAAGAAAATGAAAAATATCCCCTCGAAATATCTCGTTCCTCTCAAATTCAAGCCAATTAAAATTAATTGAACCATTATCCTCCAATTAAACATCACCTCATTCGGTGGGTACCCTTGAAAAATGATAATTGCATGAATTTACCTGAAGTGACACTGAGCTGTATGATCCCCCGATGACACCAAAAATAGGTCCAGCACTGGCTGTTTTCCTGACCCTGGGTGTCGAGCCATCAGCGCACTCAAGTATACTAATGTCTAGATTCGATAACGAGGCTCTCACAAAGTGTAGACTCTGATTGAGTGCATACGTGTCTCTACTGCACGTATCTAGGATATGAACACCCAGTGATATACCCGGTAATATTTTATTCTCCTCATTAATTTGATCGACAGCAAAGAGCATCGCCTCGAGTCTCTGCACACCCCTGTTATAAACTTTAGGTCCACATGTGAATTCACCCTTATCGTGAACAGGAAATAGTCCACCGAGAACAATATCACCAGGTATGAGAATAGCCTCTCTCTCCGTCGACGGTTTCGACGTTACCCTGCCACTCTGAAGACACACAAACACATTCACCAGGGGTAGAATCAGTGTCCAACTCTCCACCATGTTTAATTATTTGATAATTAGATTTGTTCTCTTTGAAGAGGTTCACCTAGGGTAATTGTTCAGTGTCAAGAGTTCTTTGATATGGTTTCACTGAATCAAGAGCAGTTCTGAGTCATGAGCCAGTAATTAGCACTCGAAAGATTTTATCTGAACATATCATGATTGTATCAGGAATACATGAAATTTTCATCAATTTTTCAGTGAATTTTCATCGAATTTTCATGGAATATTCATTGATCCTTCGTCACTTCCCTCTGAAGTTGACTTGAGTTCTCAAGGGTCACCGCCTTGACTTCCAACTTGATCGGGGTCACACTCGCGTGTCAACTGAGGTCGTTGGGTTTATTGTCGGATAATCAAAGACCCTCATCCTTCCCACCCTCATGTATCCGAAAAAAAAAAACCCGGAAAATCAAATATCATCTACAACAGTGAGATTTCCCCCGAGATTCATTTTTCCCCCGTAACACGCGTGTTCTTCATACATCCATTTCCCTAAATTCATCATTCCGTAACAATTGTTCATCCCCTCATTTTTCACTTTTCTTCGTGTTATCCCACTCGCCATTAGCTCCACTCCAGTGTTCTCAAGGCCCTCTCCAAAGCTCCAAAGCTCCTTCTCCCTTTCCTAGAACACCGTGTCTCAGCTCAAAGAGGCACCCAATTATCAGTTGCGATAACGAACACCCAGACTATTTTCCTCTTTTTCCCTACTCTCAGATTCTCTTTGAGTGTCGCATTATATCCACCAGTAATCCCAATTCTCGAATATCAGAAATTCTAAAGAGTTGTTTAAACGAGAAATCCGTGGAAATCTGTGTGGAATTCCATCCCCCACCCCAGAATTCATTCTTTCCCCATCCCGAAGATTTACCCACCACCATCAATAATCCGACTACTTATTGTCCAAGTGTTCCAGTGGCATTTGTATCGATTGAAATATGCCAGGACGGCGATGAACTCTATTACTGGACGACCTGAAGAAAAAAATAACCCAAAAGTAAAGGATGTAGAATAAAAAAAAAAAAGAAACACGAATGAAAGGAGCAAAACGGCAGAACTCGAACTCTCCTTTATTCTTTTAGTGAAAAAGCACTCGGTTACCTTCGTCGCCCTGAGTAAAGCACCCAGAGGGGGCTAAAAGGGGCACTGCTGGTTTCTGGAGATTTTTCAAAGTGACGGCAGACCTCTCAGACGTACCATTAGCCCTGGGGTAGAAACTGGCTGGCCCTTGGATAGATTTCCTTCTCGAATTTCCTTCCAACCCGACATTTCCTCATTTCTCAAATCCTTCAAATTTCTCTCCCAATTTCTCTCCCAATTTCTCTCCCAATTTCTCTCCCAATTTCTCTCCCAATTTCTCTCCAAATTTCTCTCCCAAAAACGAAAAAAGGCTCAGCACTTTGTCCACAATCGTCAGCACGATATTCTCCAATACTCATTCTCTCTTTATTCAATTTTATCCGAAATTCTCATCTGGAGGATAATG